AAAATTCAAAATTTCCTACCAACTAAAAATATTAGGAGTGTCCCACGCGCTCATATGACCTTATGCAGTTGCGAGCGCCGTAAAATACTTTACAAAAACAAACAAGGCCATAACTTACCATTGTCCAGCATGCGGAACTTGCCGTAGGCCTGTGACCAGGAGGGCAGAGAGAACCTGACCTTCCCCCCGTCGCCCAGGTCTCTGTCTGTGGCGGACACCGCCCCCACCACACTCCCCGCGTCCAGCCCTTCCATCACGCTGAAGCGGTACTTGGACTTGAAGAAGCGCGGCTCGTTGTCGTTCACGTCAGAGACAGACACGGTCACCGTCGCAGTGGTCGACTGTGCGGACTTTCCCGCGTCTTTTGCCAGAACGGTGATGACGTGTACATCCTGCGTCTCCCTATCTAACTCTTTGGCGCACACTAGCGTGTTCGAGTTGATGGGCACGCGGAAAAACCCGTCGGAATCTTCCAGAAGAGTGAAGTAGATCTTTGCATTGTCCCCGCTGTCCAGATCTGAGGCTAAGATGACCATTGCCACGTCATCGATCGCGTTGCCTTCTTGGACCTCGATGGTGACGTCATCGTCCTGGAAGCGAGGTGCGTTGTCGTTGACATCCTCAACGATGACGTCAAAGACCTGGGTGGCGTTGAGACGCGGCGAGCCCGAGTCCTCACAGAACAAGGTCACTCGGTACAGGTCCGTCACCTCTCTGTCCAATCCTTGCGCCACCACCACCTGGGCACAGACGAGAGAGGATTTGAAACGGGACATACTTTGACAAAATGAATAGTGAAAGTTCAAGATTCCAAGAACGTAATAATCTAAACTTTAGACCAAATTCTGCACACAAAAAAACTGCAGCGTATATGTATACTTCGCCTTCATCTGTATACATAAAGATGATACGTTTTAAACCCAGAACCTAGAGACGCCGTCATCCGTTATTCAGCTGTTGATTTTATTGATCATGAAGTTGTCAATGTTTCGGCGTTTAAATTTATCAAAACTTTTCGTGAGTCTACTTCTTGCTCTAACAAAAATGTATATATGCCTAGTAGCGCGAGGAAATCCTTCAAAAACTAAACTTGAATGAATTTTAGTAAAAGTTTTGGGCGGCACTAGAAACACAGATATGTATATAAGTACCATTACTATCTGCTGAACAAAATAAAATGTAAAAAAAGCAATATTATTACCCCTTAAAACGTCACGAGACCATTGTGAAAGAGGTACTTGAAGGAAAGACGTGGAGCAGGAGAGCCAGAGGAAGACAAAGAATAACATGGATGGACAACATAAGGACCTGGACTGGCTTGGGTATGGCAGAATGTGCACAAGCAGCTCGCTAACGTGAAAGGTGGAGGGTAATTACACGTCAACCTCTGAGTCAAGATGACACCTCCAGGTAGGTATCCAGGTATTATCAGAGCATTCGTCAACTACCCACTAAAATCTTGATTGTAGTGTCGCGACTTTTAAATAATAAAAAAAAACAATAAATAATATTTGTACTGACCTTGAGGGCAAGCGAGGCAGGGGTAGGCCTAGAACAACATACTTATGGAACCTTATGGGTTAACATGGAAAGATCAGAGAAACGTAGCTTTTTTGAGAGCATCCGAACAAAGGAATGAATATAAAACCATGATTGCCGATGTCTGTCACAGATCTGGCACTGGATGATGATGACTGACCTTGTAGTTGTTATCCTCCAGCTCGTAGAGATCAAAGAAGGCGCTCTGACTGTAACACTTGACCGCGCCGTTCTGGCCGGAGTCGGGGTCAAACACGGTCACGTGAGCCACCAGAGCGTTGATTTTGGCGTCCTCCTTGATTCGGGCACTGTCAGAGCCAGGGGACAGGGGGTCAACCGTGATGACCGGGGGGTTGTTGTCCGTGTCCATCACGCTGACCACTACCTCGGTCTGGTTCACGCGCTCGGGGCTCCCCTGGTCCACCGCCTCCACGATGATGACGTAGCTTCCGCTGGTCAGGACTACTTTGGCGCTCAGCTCGCCAGTCTTTGGGCCTGTAAG